GCTGCCGAGGGAGGGAAGGAAGAACACAGAGGAGAGAGTCACCAGGATTGTGCTGATTGACAGAGGGAAATCAGTCCCTCAGGCATGGCTAGTGGTTCCTGGAGAAAAGGTAGCAGGGATCGGAGCTGGGGGTATTCTGGTGGGATCCCTTCCCACATGACCTGGGTCTGGGCCCACCCTGCCACCAATTTGCTGTGTGACCCTGGGAAGATCACCTCCTATCTCTGGAACTGCCCCTTCTGTAAAGAAAGTAGGATGCTGGATAATTAAGCCACTGATTCTCAACTTGGGGTCCCGGATCCTGCCTGAGGGTCTATGGAGACCGGAAAGGGCATCCATGAGTGCTTTTGAGAATTTCGTACTAAGCGATCCAATAGGATACAGAAATTCCGCTACCCTCAAGCCCTGGAAGCTAACTTGAGGCCTTGGGAGCATTTACCCACAGCCAGAAGCTCAGCTTGAGTTAATTTAAGGTGGCAAAATGAATCCTTCATCAAGAAATGAATCCCCTGAACTGTGGGACCCTGGGGAAGCCTGGGAATGCTTCAGGGCCCTTCACTATTTGATGACTGGTTTGGAAAGCCATGGGGGTTCATATGAGGCCCCGTGGAGCTGGGTGGTGTAGCCCAGTGGAGAGAGGCAAGAAGAAGGTTCCATTAGGCTGGGTTAGCTTCTGGGATTGGGGTGCTGGGGAAACGGAGGGATATCCTTTGCCCACCTGGTGCTGTTCTCTTTGTCCCTGGGTACCCTCCACGCTGAGATTATTGCAGTGCCTCTGGGCCCCCACCCCTGGCCTGGGGGACCCTAACAGAAAGTGTGCATAGAATACAGGCCAGGGTTGCTGAAGAGGGGCGCCCCCTCCTTGCCTCTAGAAGGTGAGATAAAAGAAGCCCCCCTTTCATCCCTTGGGGCTTTTTCTGCCCCCAGGAACTAGGCCAAGCTGGACTGAGCCTTCCTCTCCCACTCCCACAATGCCTTGCTCCAGCCCTCCTCCTCCCCTTGCCTCTGCCTGTAGCAACCAAAACTCAGGAATGTCCCACCCCCCACCCCCAACCAGAATGGCACGCTACAGTCACTACCCCACCCCTGTCCCCAGCCCAGAGTCTCAGAAACCTCTCTGGCTGGGAAGAGGGACCCAGGCTGCTGCCCATAGCTGCCCGTGTGTCTTGGCACTGACTTGGTCCCTTCCATTGAGATATCACAAAGCACTTCAGGACAGACATTAACAGATCCCTCTCCCCACAAGCCCTGCCCGCAGACTGGGAAGGAGGCAGGTGCCAAGGGGGCAGTGGGTCCTGACTTTGAACCTAACTGTGTCTGGAATCTGCCCACCCCATGCAGGTCTCTCCTAACCAGGAGTCCCCACCACTGCAGAAAACTCCAGTCCCTAAGCAGCCCCCTAAGGCCCTGGAGAAACCTGTCACCCTTTCAGATGATCCTTCCCCTACTTCCCTTCCCTTACAGCTGAGAGAGCAGTTGGGTGTGCTTTGAAAGGGGTTTAGGGTTAGACTAGAGAAGCCTCAGAAGGAGCCAAGGCACCCTGATTTCACCAGAGGGGCTTCCAGACTCTGCAGGGCTCCCTGGAACCTTCTCAGAATTTGTTGCATTTTCTTCCTCCACCCCTGGGGTCAAGGACAGAACTCAGGGCCTTGGGAGTGCAGGGCAAGCGCTCTGCCACTAAGCTAAGTCCCCAAGCCCCGCACCCCCACCAACACTTTGAATCAGAGCTCTCAAACTGGTAGCCCCAGGGGCTTGGTACAGTGTTCAGTTTGACCAGCATGAGGTCTTTCAAAACCTGGAACTTTCATGCCTTCCAGCAGGGCACACACACTATCCCATTTGCAGCAGGGGGCGGGGAGTCTGGGGAGGTCCCTATGGTTTAGCACCTGCAGAATTTCAGTCTCCTGGGGGCTTTGCAACTGCCAGGCAAGACTTTCCCTGAACATTTGCAGACCCTACTTGGTCCTGATCTAGAGACCTGGACACTCCTGGGGCCTTGGCCTCCCAGCCCTCTGCTGTCCCCGCCCTTGTGGGTGACACACCTCCAGGAGATACAGACTGCAGAGAGCTGGCTGAGGGGAAGACGGACTGCGGGGAGACATAGGAATGGGGCAGATGAGAAGAGGGGACCAAAGAGTACTCCCTTGTTGGGGAGCCCCCTGTGGGGGAGGGTGGTGGCCTGTGTTGTTCAGCTGGGGTGACCATTACAAGGCACATCAGTGCATGGAGGTGCGACTTGGGGTGTCTGGTACCTGGAGAGGTTTGGGGAGCAGTCATCAGCTTGTGGGGTCAGTTTAAAGTGGGAGGTCAAGAAAAGAGAGAAACAGAGGTCTGCCTCAGGAACAGGGTTTCCTGGGGTTGGCGACTGCCCAGTACTTTGGTACCCAGTGTTCTGCTCTCCTCTGTTCCTGGCAAAATTAAGGTGGACCCAACTAACTCCCACTGCACTGACTTCCTGTGCGATCTTGAGCAAGTGCCTGGCCCTTTCTGGGGCTCAACTTCTCCTGTATAATGGGATTAGAGGGTGGTTGATTTAGGGGACCCCAAAGCCCCCTTGAGCTGTGTTTCTGGAAACTTCTCTCATTTCAAGGACTCTGGAGGGGTCCTGGGAAGGACTGCACATCCAGGACAGGGTGAAGGTTAGAGAATGGGGTACAGAGGACCCAGGGGACACAGTTCTGATGGGGAAGAGAGACCAACCATCTGAGGTAGATTATGTCACAGAAAGGGACACAAAACAACAGCTCCAAGGAAATGAGGCCCTCCCCTCTGACTCCTCTATTGCAGTGAAACAAGGAAACAGGTCAGCAGAAAGGGGACCTCAGGAAGGGAAAGATGGGATCCTGAACTCCAGGGAGGGATGTATTTCAGGGGCTGAGCTAACGGGGAGAAGTGAGAGGTGCTCACAGTCTTCTCCTCAAGCCCTTTGACCATGACCTTGACCTTGCAGACAGAGGCCCTGAAGAGAGGTTTTGTGGGATTGGTCTGATGAGAGGGTGGAGTACAAGCCCTGAAAATATGGCTGTGGCTTCCCCATGAACCTCAAGCCCTGCCTGGCATTGCCAGTTCATTCCTGTTCCCTGGCTCCTGGAGTCTTCTGAGCTGTAAAGGACTCCCAGCTGCCAGGTAGGGTATTATTTTAACTTCTCCTTCTAGAATGCTGGAAATGGGCCATTCTAGCACCCTGGGAGTAAAATAATTGCCAAGGAGACCCTCACGTTGCCTCGCCGAGCCTTAGTTGCCTCGTCTGTAGGGTAGGCGGAGAATGGCTCTTGTAAGGATGTTGTGAGCAGAGGACGGTGTAAGGGAGACCCTGTGGGTGGAAACTCTTGGCACAATCAGCCCTGGAGAGACAGGTAGTGGGTCTTGGTCCCCAGCCTCAATGCTGTGCGTAACTGGTCATAGAGTTGGATCTCCAAAAACAGTTCTGGATAGAGGACAAGGAGAATCACCAGAACGGATCTGGGTCAGGATGGAACCCCCTATCATTCTTGCGGCTGGGTTCCTGAGGCTTCTCAGGGAAACAGGAGGAAGAAGGAAATGCATTCTTAAATGTCTGCATGAGGGATGCAGCCGCCTGTGATGCCAGGAGGGTGGGGGCCTTGTATCACAGCTATGATGTGTGCTTGTGGGTGCAGTCCTGCCCTTGCTGCCTGTGGGGTCACCCTACACCCTGAATGTGGCCCCCTCCCTACATCCTCAGTAAATCCATCATTACCCATCACCATCTGATGGTCCAGCCAGACCTGGGAGAGTAGCTGCCACTCTGAGCCTTAGTTTCCCCACTATAATCCCCAGGGAGGCTGAGCCGGCAAGGGCTAAGCACCCCCTCTAATTTGCATAGTCTGATTCTAACACCCACTGCGGCCCCGCCCTGCAGCTGAGCTTCAGATATCCTCCCAGCAAACGTGCCTTAGTGGGCATGGGTGAGTGGGAAGGGGAGCCAGTCTCTGCCTAGAGGCTCTGTCTCCACTCCGTGGAGCTGCCTCCTTCTCTACTCCCAACCTTCTGCACCCCATCCAGGACTAAAAGTGGCCCTGAATGAGTGATCCCATGAGCACCCCAGGATGTTCAGGCCAAGGGAATGGAACACAGGTCTTGGGGAGGTTGTCAGATTGGAGACAAAAATAAGTCAGCTTCCCAGACACCCTCCCCAGAGCGGCATCTGCAGGGTGGCTGAAATCCAGGATTCATGTCACATCCCCAGAGCTACTTTTTTCTAGCTAAGAACCAGTTGGCAGCTGAAATGTTTCGGGGTTCTGAGGACAACTTCCTTTTAGAAAGATAACTGTGGACCAAGGTGGACCGGAGCCTAGAAGTCCCATAAGTACCCCTAGAACATTCCATTTGCATTGGTTTCTAGAGCTGCCTCCCCCCCACCATGGCAAGCACTAGAATCTTCCACAGCAGAGCAGCAGGGGTCCAGTGTCCTTGCTTGTCATACATAATCTATGACAGACTTCCTAGGACATTTCATCAGTTAAGTGTTCTTCTAGAACTTCTTCTGGACCTAAGCACATCTCTACAATAGTTCTTCTGCCAAATGAGCTAGATCCTCATCTATAATTGAACTCAGACAATGTATCCTCCTGGACATTTTATCTGCTGTGCTCAAGATCTTAGGAATGTTCCGGATGTTCATCTAGAGCAAAAAATGCCTCCTTGAAATATTTTCACCCGAGGTGTCAAACCTCATCCATAACAGCGCCCACGACGAAGTATATTTCCCAAAGAGTCCTTCTCTGGACTTGACCCTGGTCTGCAGGTCCTCCTCCCCCAGATCTTCCACCCTTCCAGGTTTATGCCAGCTTGGACCCCTTGGGGTTCTTTCCATCTCTGCACTATCAGCCCCCATCCCAATTCCCCACCCACCCCTACTCCCTCCTTCAGCTGCCCTCTTGCCTAACTCCAGGCCTCAGACCCTCCAGGTACTATGATGATCCTGTCCACAAGATGCTCCAAACTCACCCCCACCTCCCATGGCCTCCTCCATCCTTCTCAGTGATCCCCTCCCACCACAGAGGCAGCCCACTGCCATACCCCCAAGGAGCACAGGGCCTCGCCATGAACTCCAGACAGTACCCTTCCTCTGGTAGGTTCACCAGGGGCAATGTGTGGACAATGCCAGGCAGGGGAGAGGGTGCGGGCCCCCTGCAACAGGCATGGTACGGAGGCCCCATGAAAGTGGGGCAGCTCATGAGGAGTGTAGCACCAGTTGATTCCCTGGGCCCTGGTTCAGGGGAATCTAGGGAACTGGCCACAGGGCTGTAAATGGGGTCTGGGGCTGGAGTCTCCATAAGACAGCCCCCTCCCTTAAAAAGAACCCAATGATGGGGCCACTCTACCCTTGGATCAACAGATCCATGACCCCACAGCCTGGTGGCCCTGAAATTCCTGGCTCAACACTGTAGTCGATGTGGGATCAGCCAAGTCCATCCCTTTTTGTCAGAGCAGACTGTGGCCTACACGGTTGTCTCGTACTCCAGCAGCTCTTGGGAGGTCCCCACGCTGCGGTACTGCAACCGGGGTGTGGCGGGAGAGGAGTACTCCAATGCCAGGATAGTCTTCCGGAGCCTGCGGTCAATAAAATGAGCATCCCAAGCTGGGTACTTCTTGCGAGGCAAGTCAATCCGAATGACAGGCCCCTCTGTCCGCAAGGGGCGGGCCACTGGTGTGGGAGGCAAGCCAGGCCGCACCTGGAAGACAGGTAGCGTGGGGGTCCCTGCACGCTCACCCCCCACGGAGGCCCCATCTCGCTCGGCGCCTGTAGTCCTTGGCAGGGACCGTGGGGGACTTGTGATGGCATCGGCTGGTGGGCCACACGTCCCTGGGGTCTCAGGACAGATGCAGCCAGGTGCCTGGGGACCCAGCATGGGTCCATTGGGGTGCAGGAGACAGTAATAGACACACATGAAGAATATGCCCAGCGCAAAGCTGGAGGCCACCACGCAGACCAGGATGAGCGAGTGGAAGTCGTTGGAGAAGTTGCGGCTGAAGTACCAGAAGCCAGTGAGCGCTGCGTTCTCCAGCAGGACAATGCAATAGTAGAGGGTCATGCGGCGGCGGCTGCGGCCCTCCTTGACATTGAACCAGCAGAAGATGTAGATGACGCCCACCACCATGTTGTAGATGATCTCCTCCCACTTGGACATGCAGAAGTCTGTCTCCCCCTGAATGACCCAGAAGGTCATGACGCACCAGTGAGCCACGATGAAGATGCCAAAGTAGAGCTTGTAGACGCTGGCGAAGAGGGCGAAGGCCAGACTGCGAGCTGCGATGGTGAACAGGTGCCACAGTACCTGGGCCACGGCGCCCTTGTAGGACAGTGGCCGCTTGTCGTCCCTCGAGTCTCGTAGCACCTTCTGGTAGGAGGCCAGCGTCCAGGCCAGGGACACGAGGGAGGCAGAGGTGGAGAGGGCTGTGGAGAGAGGGTGGGGATGGGATGGGCTGGGTTAGGGTGGGTCTGGGTTGGGGTCTGGGGAGAAGGGGAGGGTCTGGGTCAGGAGCTGGGTTCTGAGGAGGCATAAGGGAAGCGTGAGGAAGCGTGAGGTCTCTGAGTCTGCAGAAGTGTGAGAGGGTTTAGGGGGAGGTCCTCAAGAACAATGATGAGGTGAGGCGGAGCAAGAGTGGCTGGGCTGGGTATTTCTGCAGGCGTGGAGCATAAAGGGGCGTCCAAGTTGGGTGATTTTGGTATCTAAAAGGGTGAAGTCTAGGACTCTAGTATGGGGCTATTAGGATTCAAGGGTCTTAGTGTGGGAGGGTAGGAAATTAGGATCAGGACTCTAGGAGTGGAAGAAGAGGTAAAGAGGGGGTCATGATTAGGGCATGGGGAGCCAGGAGGGGCCATTAGAAGACATGGAGCACCAGGCTGAGTCTAGGTGTGGAGGGACACCTAGGACTTAAATCTGAGGGCTCAAGACAAGATCCCAGGTGAGGCTCCTATGCTGGGAAAGGGATCCCCAGGGGGTCTGAGTTGTGGTAACAGTGTTTTGGGACACTGAGGGTAGTTTGGGCAGGGTCTGGGTGGGGACAGCACCAGGTGCCCCAGAGAGACAGGGCTGGCAGTTTTTCTCTGATGTTGAGGGGGCTGGCCTGGAATGTTCTAGAAGGGGCAGGTGGGAGTGAAGAGGGCCTATAGAAAGATAGGAAGGGGACCAGGTCTAAGCCTTGGAGGTGTCCCCAGGACTTCCAGTGGGACAGCAGATGGACAGGTTCTCTGGAAACCAATGGCAGTTGGGCCATCTGTGGGGTAGGGGAGTCTTCTGGAGATGCAGGCTGGGATCAAAAAGGTTTAGGGAATGAAGGGACAGGGGACTCCCCAGTGCATCTAAGGTATGTTGAGGGGGTGAAGGGCAGGGTCTGGTCTGCCCTGGTGAAGGGGGAGGGAGGGGCAGGAGGGGGTGCCCAGGGGACCTGAGGGGTGAGGGGCCAGGTCCGAGGGGGACCAGGTGTCTTGAGAGGCTTGGAGGGTGATGAGAATATAGGGCGGGCTTCCCCAGCCCTGACCCAGCGGCCCTGTAGCAGCGCTCACGGCTTCCCGGGGCCTGGGGCGGGGCGGGGCTCACCGGGCAGCAGGTCGGGCTCGCGGCCGCGGTGCACCAACAGGCTGAGCTGCAGCACCAGCTGCGGCGCGCTGCGCAGGAAGGTCTCCAGCAGGCGCAGCATGCTCACGTCGGCGCTCTCGAACAGCATCCGCCAGTAGAAGTGGCGCCGCAGCCTCTCCCCGCGCCAGCGGCTCTGTAGCCCCAGGTACAGGGCGCGCAGGTACCTGCGGGAGGGGACGCGGGTTCAGCTCCCCCGGCTCTTCCGCCTCTGGCTGTCACCTGCCAGGGCCCACCCTCAAGAGCAGGGAGTCCCTGCTATGCCCAGCCCCCTCCCTCAGCTGCAAAACGGTGATGGGGGATCACTTGGGGTGGGGGTGGGGGCTGTGGCTGGAGAGCACCGAATGGGCTCAGGAGCTTCAAGTACTGACACAAGGGAAGGCCTTAATACAGGGTCATCACCACCATTGCGGGGACCACTTTCTTTCTTTCTTTCTTGTAGGGGATTGAACCCAGGGCGCTTTACCACCGAGTTCATCTTCAGCACCCCCCCCCCTTTTTTTTCAGTCAGGATTTGGCTAAGTTGCTGAGGCTGGCCTTGAACTTGGAAGCCTCCTGCCTCAGCCTTCCTAGTAGCTTGGATTACAGGGGTGCACCACCATCCCCAATCCCAATTTCTTTGAAAGACTACTGACACCTGAGAGTGCCCTAAGCTTAAAGGATACCTTTTCATCATCCCCATTTTATAGATGAGGAAAGTGGGACCCAGAGAGGCCTATCATTTGTCCAACATTACACAACTAGGAAGACCATCTCCGAGCCCTCTTTGGTCCCTCCCAGAGGAGTTGTGAGGATTAATTAAATGGATGAGAAGCTACTTTGCACACTGTAAAGTCCAGGATTCAAACCCAGGCAGCACTTTAACCATTAGATGGCACTGCTTCTTACAGGAAACCATCAACAGTTCAGGTATAGCCTCTGGTACCAGCCCCCAGTTCTGCTGCAGCAGCTTCCTGACCTGTTCTTGAGCTCGCCTCTGAGGGCCCAGTCCCCACATGGGGGCGCAGGGAAGTTGCTCCCTCTCTCCTGGCATTGAGACTTTGCGGCCCCCTCTCATGCCACTTTCCCTAACAAACTTCAGGGCTCCAGTTCCTCTGCAAGGCCACAGAACCCAGGGCTCCCGTGCTCTCCCTCACTGCTGAGCTTTTGCGTCTATTGTTCCCTTTGCCTGATCCCCCCTCTGTCCTCCTCCCCTGCCCCAAACCTGGATAAGTCTTGCCTTTCTTCCAGAGTTCAGCTTTTAAACACAACTTCTTTTAGGAAGCGTCTGTTGACCACCCTCCACCTTTAGATGCTTCTCCTGCTTGCCTGATTTCCTCACCTAGTCCTTGTGGGGTACGCATCTCCCTCAGACTGTGAGTTTCATAAGTGGTCAGTTCGGCTTGCTAACTGCTGCAGCCTCAGTTCTTAGTACACACTAGGCACTCAATCCATGTGGGTTGAATGAACGCATACATGTCCGACTGCGAGTGTGTCGAGTTCAACAGAACTCTGGTAATCCTGGAGCAGGTAGGGAAGGAACGCGGAACCCTGGGTTCAATTCCCAATTTTAATTTACTGCGTGATCTTGAGAAGACCCTCTTTGAGTCCTAGTTAGTCCCTCCCAGAGAAGTTATGAGGATTAATTAAATGGATGAGAAGCTGCTTTGTACACTGTACAGTGCAGTACCCAGGGAGGATGAATGAGACCTGTCCACACAGTTCTCAGGGTCTGATTTCCCCTCTCTTGCTCAACAGCTCCACTCTTAGCTGTTATGACCACAGACCCTCCCCCTTCCTAGCCCTCAAAGCTCTTTGATTCCTGGGGCAGGCAGGCTTCTGCTGAAACCATAGAGGGAAACTCCAAAAATGCGTGCCCTGAGAAACTGGCAGTTGATCCCAACACAGATTTAGTGATCCTGTTGCCTGGATCTACAATTGAAGAACCAGGGATTTGGAAAGTCTATTCCCAGATGGATGTGCTCTCATTTTGTTATCGGGATGTTGTTTGGGGACAAGGACCAGCTGTATTCCTGTTGTGCTACCAGCCTGAGACAGGACTGCGGTGCCATGGGACCAGCTTATACCCAGAGTGTCCTCCAACAGCTCTCCTCGTCTCACAGCTGTGTGGCCTTTCCTGGGCCTTTGTTTCTCCTCTGTTGAGAGGATGGCTGGACGGCTCTGGGGATCCTTTCAGAGCCAGACTCTCCCCCCCAAAACATGGCCAGGAACATCCAATTTAGGGCCCTCATCCTCATCCCCGGATCCTCCTGGCACAGATGATGCCGCAGACACACCCTCCATGTGACACATTACAGGACTGGCATCCAGAAGGGGGGAGGGCTAGTCCCTCAGCCACTGCCTTGGAAAATGCACAGGTGCCTCCCTGTGAGTCTCTGGCAGTGCTGGGATTCCTCAGCTGTTTCCAGCCCGAGCGTGACAACCACTGCCTCGTTCCGCGCTACCTGCAGCTTCGGAGAAGCTCCTGAGCCGGATTGTGTTTCTTGTAACGAGTGGAAATTTGTCTCCCTGTAGCTTCTGTTCTCTGGGCCCGGGCCTATCCTCACCTAAGGATCTTAGCAGCCAGAGTCATTCCTTGACACAGCAAGCGCACCGTGGCCACCTGCTCTGTCCTTACCTGTTGCACACCCCTGGGAAGGAGTAACAGTAGGAGGGGGAACAGATGTTACAAGACGCTTTGGAACCCAGACAAGAGATGATAACTGTGCCTGGGGGAGGAAGTCAGGTAACAGTTCCAGGAGGAAGAAAGATTTGATCTCAATTTTACAGCATGGAGTGACACTGAAGGCGCCCAAGAGGTGGAAGGACATTCCAAGTGGAAGAACCAGCAGATGCACAGAGGCCTGAGGCACCTGGCCATGTGAGGGAATGGCCAGGGTTCGCATGGGCCTGGACAGGAGGGTTTTAATGGGTAGGAGCATAACAAGACTAGAATTGTGAAGAGCATCAAATTCTGGACTGGAGAAGTAGAGGAGTGTGTGCTCCGTGTGCAGGAGGCCCTGGTTTCCATCCTGGCGTCTCTCTCTCTCTCTCTCTCTCTCTCTCTCTCTCACACACACACACACACACACACATACACACACACACACTCACACACCAATCTGGACTGGAGTCTTCAGATTTTCTTCTGAATCTGAATTCCATCCCAGAATCAGAGGTGACGTGGCCAGCTCGGTAGCTCAAAGCTGGCTCCGAAGCTGGATTGGAGGGGAGCCAGGAGGGGCTGGGCCTTGGTTCAGAACCGCAGTGACAGCACTGAGCTAGGGCAGGGGATACAGGAAGGGCAGAGGGCAGGCCTGAAGGTGACCAAAGGTGGGGAGCTATAGGAGGAAACCAAGATGGCCCCGGCGTTTCTAAGGGAGCCAGAACAGAGGCCATCTTTCCCAGCCTCCACACCTGCCCCTCCTCCCCAACCCATTTCTACAGCTCTAGCTCTGAACAGGAAGGAGAGACCAGCTGGTCCAATGTGAAGGGGCCTGGGGAGTTGGGGGAGGGCGACACCCTGGACATTTCTCTCAGGCTGGAAGACCATCTGTTTCCGGGCCTGGGTCAGCATGAGGGAAGCCCGGCCCTTGGCCAGCACCCATCACTACCTGACAGGCCGCCTGCCCACCTCCCCGCCCATTCCTGCCCTCTCCTCTGCCAGCTCTGGGCGAACTGCAGACAAAGGGCTCCCCCAGCCCAAAGGGCTCCTGCCGTGGGAGAAAGGCGTCCGAGCCCCAGGAACGTGGGGTCGGCAGGGAGCACAAAGAGCACGCTGCAGCCTGGGGAGGAGAGGCCTGGGTTCTGCCTCGCTCTGCCCCTTTTGGCAATGGGGCCAAACTGGCTGTTCTTTCCAGCCGGCGCTAGGTACTCGCTGCCAAGGGCCTGCGAGATGTTCATGGGCCTAGGAAAATGTTTGAGGCCTGGAAAAAAATTGGCTCTAAAACACAGGGAAAAACTGCAGAATCAAAATTAATAAATGTTTAATTAAATGTCTGCAAAACAGAACATGATGTCAGCCAGTCAACTGCAATTTGGCTTTTATCTGGTTATATATAATTTACATTTGATGTTTGATGTGGCTGCATTTTAATATGCCTGATAGATGCGGAGCCCTCAAAGGTCTTACAACAATCCTGCCCAGGATATGCAACCTAGTTTCTCTGGCCTCAGTTTCCCCTTCTCTAGGACAGAGTTGGCAACTTGCCACCCTACCTGTGTCACGGCCACCGAGCAACTAAAGGGCAAGATGACAATATGCTGGGCTTGCTGGTAGGTTTGCATCCCAGCCCTGCGCTGGACCTGCTGTGCGGCCCTGGATGGTCTCTCTCTGCTTCTCTGAGCCTTATTACCCTCCCTGTTGTAAGCATTAAATTACATGATAGATTTGAGAATGATTTTCAGGCTGTAGCAGGATGTGCACGTGGTTGGGGGAGAGGGGAACATATACTGGGTGGAGGCCTCTGCACTTCCTAACTACCAACAGCCTCTCTTGACACCTCCTCCAGGAAGCCTACGCTATCCCACATCCCACTCGGCTATCCCACATCCCACTTGGCTTGAAAGGAGTTGGTATCACCATAAATGGGACTGAACGACTCACAGAGAAGGGCGCTGCAGCTCAAGGCAAGGAATCCAGCCTCGGGGGAGGGGAGCACATCTTCCTTTCTCCAAATCTATCCCTAGTCTGCTCATCTTTCCAATGCCACCAGCTGGTGCAGGCGACTGTCATCTCTTGCCTGGATGGCCACATCAGCCTTCTCTGTAGGCTCCCTGCATCCACCCTCCCCCCGTCTGGTCTACTCTCCACATGGCGACCAGCGGGATATTTTTAAAAGCTGTCAGATCATGTCATTCCCCTTCACAAAGCCTTCCAAGGGCCTCCTATCACACTTGGAATCAAACCTGAGCTTCTCCCTTGGGCTTTCAGGCTCTAGACCATCTGCCTTGTCCATTTCTCACTGTACCTCAAGCCACTGTCCCATTTGTTAACCCCCACCCCCCAGGTGCCCTGGAGGTTTCTTGAACTAGCCAGACCTACTTCTGATGCAGGACCTTTGCACATGCTGCTCGCTGGACCTGGGCACCCCTTCTCCTGATCCCTCTGTGGCTGACCTCTCATCAGCTCACATGTCACCTTTTTAGGGAGGCCTCCAAGGCCTCCCATCCCACCATGGTATTGCCA